GCTATTTATTATTATTATTATTATGATACACGTGTGAACCTTAAATAACACACCGAGTAGTAATTAAATCAATAAGGATTTATATATATATATATAAAATAAAGCTCAGCTTCTAATGGTGAACTTCTGAGCTGCAGTTGATATAGATTGGGTGAAGATACTACAGTGGAATCCACTTCAACCTATGTTTGCGGGGCCGCTGGATTTTCTTTGGTTTAGAGAGATAGTTTGAATGAGAAAGAAAAATCAGGGATTTTACTTTATTTCAGTTTACTGACTGCTTTTGGACTGACACTATGCTCGGTTTAAGCAGATTCTAATGCATTTGTATTTCAGTTCTAAGAATTATCTTTTAATAAAAAATCTAAAAATGAATTCTTATACAGCTTCCTCATCTTCTCACCTAATATTCCTGTTCCCAGAATGGTAGCAATTGTCACAAAATCTGTCGAGAAAAAAAAAAAAGAAAGAAACATATCATTAATGTTGGCAGACAATAAATATATGGCAGTAGTTCATGCCACCATACAAAACAACTGAAATGTGAAGCCAAGGACAGATAACATGAACATGGAAAACTCAAAATCATGGAGAGCTTGTACAGTTTGCTATCCCGTGACTAATAAACGATATCTTTAATTTTTCTTTATCAGTTTATCCAAATTATGAATGTGTCCAACACATTTGCAATCCCCGACAAGTTTGATTATAATCTGTGCTCAACTGTATTCGAAACTTATTCTACCTTTCCCTTCTCATCAAAATTTTGAGCCAATTTTTGCCAATCTGTCAGAATCTGTCTACCTATCTACTTACCGACTTAATAGTCTATCTTTATCTCTCTCTCTCTCTCAGATCGCTGTCTCTGTCTCTTGCACTCTCTTTCTCCTTTCCCCTCCTTTCTCAGTATTCTTTTCCTATTACTAATAAGAAATTGATTAACACCTATGCGTACGCACACACACATCTACAAACACACATGTAAACATAAACACGGTACACATGAGTGTGTGTTAAAAAAATATGAACATTTCATTTTCCAACATCTCTATAGTTCATTCACTTGCAATTTCATATTACTCTTATACGAAAAAATCTCCATTCAATATTTATGATATTTCTACAATGAGACTCCGTGAACCAGGAGGCCACAAAAATATCTCCAAGGTAGTTCTGTCAATATTTACTCAAATCAATAAAAGACTAGTGGCTACACTACCAGACAGTCACCAGCTTGAGTTACACTGAAAAACACCTGTTACCATTGTTACCATAAACACTTAAGTGTTGCTGAAAATAAGAGTCCGGACAGCTGTTGACCAACCATCTCAGCCATCTGCTATCTGCACATTTTACTTTTATGAGAAAATATTAAAACAAGCATGCCTCAGTTAAATAAAACGCATTGCTACTTAACTGAAGATTGGAGCACAAAGAAATAGAACTATTGCAGTAAAAAAAATTGCTGGCATGATAGATAAAAAGGTACTCTAATGAACTGAGGTTGAACAAAATGAAATATGTTGATCCAAGTACAGATTAAATTTAGACCTAAATATCTACTACTCTATTTCAATTCAAATGTGAAACCAGTCCTGTTGCATGCATGTGCGACATGGAAAGCATCACTGACTTGCATAAAGAGGACCCAAGCTTTCTTCAACAAGTGTCTAAAAATGTTACTGAGGATCAAATGGACAGACAGGGTCACCAACAAGAAAGTGAGAAGGAAAATAAGACAAATCCCAGTCAGAGATGAGGCAGGAAGAAGGCGGTGGCGTACGGATTGGACATACTCTCAGGAAGTCAGGCAGCTGCATAACAAAAAAGTGTTGGACTGGAATCCACAGGGTAAAAGATCAAGGGAAAGACGGTGTGGAACTTGGAAAAGAATCACAGAAATTGATGTTCAGAAAAGTGGTAAGACATGGAATAACATCAAGAGGCGAGCCCAGGATAGAGAAAGGTGGAAAGTATTTGTCCATGGCCTATACCCTGGTGCAGGATGAGAAAGCAATGATGATGATGATATACTATTCTAGATTCGATTTATCTGGATCTAGATCCTAGATCTGCATTCAGTATGAGGAAATAGTATGTGTCAGACATATGTGAGGCAGCGTGGTGAAATCAGGCGCTAACCAAAATAATGAAATCGGAGAAACAGGCATTTTTTCTCCCAGTTTGGAAATTTTTTTTTTTTTTTTTTTTTTTGGCTTAACCTCTTTTATGTCCACGTGAATTTTGTTGAAAAAGGTTGATTAAAGGCACAAAATATGTCATTTTTCAGTTTTAAAAGACTCTTTAGCTATATGACTTATAAAACTTGGGGGTCATTTTCTCAGTAATTTCACCACCAAAACCAGGCAATCTCACCTTCTTCAATCGCAAATATCTTGAGTTCTTTTCTAGATAAATGGATATTTATTTCATTGGAAGAAAGGCAAATAAACCAACTTTCAGATTATACCAATACACGTAACTCCACATGCCCTAAATAGACGAGCTCCTGATTCAACCGTGTCGTGACACATATGTATCCGTAAAATTCTAGTAAACAGGAATAATGAAAAATACGAGATAGCTACTGAAGAAAATCAAGGAAAATATCTGTGATGATATATCAATCAGAATTTAAATCATTGTCATCATGAAAAGCACCCAGTTTGAATAAGACTAAGAGGGCTGAAGGAAAGACACTGCGTGCGCCTTGTTGAGTGTGGAAGCAAGAAAAAGGAAAAGGGCCATGCTGATCAGTTTATGACCGAAAAAAAAGGTCTAGCATCAGATCACTGCCAGGACAAGGCTACAAATACTGGGCATAGCATGCCACGCACCCCTCATGCGTAATTACTTCTCCATCCACGCCTTCATGTTCAAACAACCCAAGGCTCCCCATTACGCGCAGATGTGCGTATATTATGCATTAAATCTGCAGATTACCCCCTCTAAGTTTTGGAGGTGCATGAGAGTTACTCAAGCAAAGGATATTTTCTCACTAGTTTTACCTCTGAAGCCAGGCAACCCCCACCTCCTTCAATCGCCAATATCTTGACTGTTATCCAAGATAAATGGATATTTTTTTCATCAATTGCAGCGCAAATGGACTGGCTTTAAGATGATACCAATAACTTCATCATATATGCCCCAAAATTGACGAGCGCCTGACTCCAGCGCGTCCTGACACATAACGAATTTTTGAAGGTTACCTAACAATTATGTCTTGTGATAATCTACAGTTACTAAAAATCAATAACAAGAGGCCTCCATAGGCCTACACTTACACTAAAATCTGGAATGGTTGTGGTGGCAATTTATAGCATGATCCTACACTACTAATAACAATCCCTTTTAGGTCATTAGGCTACTTGTTGCATAGCAAATTTAAATCGGGTTTGCATTAATTAATCAATTTACAATTTCAAATCAACCTCTTGATTAATTTTATGTGTAGATCTAGATCTAGATCTAGCCTTGAGCCTGATGAGTACAGTCTAGATTTTAGTTGCAGTGGCAAATTGTAACAATAACAATATAACAGTGATCCAGAGCTAACTTGATCTAGATTTCTAGATCTAGATCTAGAGAATCTAGATTCTAGGGCTATTTATTGTAAGGTAGGCGCTAATTGCGACAGAGTGACTTTGTGACAATTAATGCGACATTAATTGCGATAGAGTGAGTCTGCGACAAAAAAAAGTATTAAAAAAAAGAAAAACAAACACACACACACACACTCAACCACACTCACACACCCACACAAATACACATTCACACTAATAATCACACACAAGAATAGATCCAGCCAGACTAAAACTAAAGTGCAACTTACATGCTTGAAGGTACACAGTCACTTCTGAATTACAGCACTTGGAATTCATTTTGAAGCAATTGTTTAAAGTTAGACTTTATTATCGTCTTATTCGCATTAGCAAATGGAAACAGCTGTTCTCAAATTTTCGTGGCACCAGGGCGCCGCCATGTTTGTTTATTGTCTTCCCATTTGTATGCCAGGATCACGATTAGAAACAAAATCAATAATAAACTCTAAAAAAAAAAGAAAAACCGCTGAATCTCGACGCCCCCTTTGTATCTCTGCAGATATGTGTCCCAGTGTTTCTTTTTACTTTCTTTCTTAAAAATAGAAATTACGTAAAATAACAACGGCAGAACTCAAAGCATTCACAGAAAAATTACTTGTTGATTTACAGTTTTAAAAAATAAATAATAATAAGTTCAGCTTAATGCCAAATAGCCTTCGTGATTGCCAATCAAACAGAAAAATAGCAATTGAACTGTATGGTAGTCGGAAGCAGTGCCGAATCACATCGAATTTACCCC